GACGCCAGTCTCAAAAGCCCCGCTGTTTTCAGAACGTGAACCTCTTTCAGTGTAACAACTCAAAACTAAAGTTTTTTTATATACGGGAGGCTAGTACAGATATACGTTATTCACCGGCTAATACGCTACTCCCTATATTAATGTGAAACAGAGAAAAGCAGGATTCTGGCATCGGAGGTGATGAGCCTCTACGTGGCGTCAATTTTCAAGACAGTGTTAGGAACCATACCATTTTTTTTCATAGGCAGTTCCTTCTGGTACTAATTTATATTCGTCAGGGAGTGCAGTATTACCCCTTTCAGTTCTAAGATTTCCTTTGGCGCAACCATATATTGTTCTTGAAGGGAATAGGTGGTAAATACTTCTGTATTGAGAATATGCACACTAAGGGTTTAAAACGTAAGACTATAAGTAATGCCATGCGGGAATATTTTACGGCGTTTAAAGATGATCCGGCAAATATGACTAAAAAAACTGAATGATTGCGCTTATCTGCTACGGTATACAGCGCCATCAACCATGCTACGAGCGAAAGTGCCTTCCGCAGGCAGCGTGGCTAAATGAGTGGCAGCACTAGATCATTTTTCAAGGTCCTTAGATGAAACAATTTTGCAAGGTAGCATGACTCATTGTTCTCGATGCCGTCCTCTTCCCTCTCTCGCTTAACTATCTTTTTTTCTGCCACCGGCGTCAGTAATTGGTCCATTTTTTGCACGTGATCTTGCAAATGGCTAGTGACGTTATTTATTGTTATGCAAAGGTTCAAAGAATAGTACGCATGCGCATATGGCCGAAGTCGGATTCTCGCCATGACTAAAGACAAAATTGTGGCCAGAACATAAACTGAAGAGGAGGAGAATTTCTCATAGCGCCATGTCGGCCAAGAGTGTTTCACAGGCTCGTTCAATGCAATATGATTTTTTCAACAATGCCGGGTTTCATAAAACAACAGAAAATGGTTTCGCTCTCTTCAACTTATCTTGTGCTATCAAAAATGAAGCACGTCATGAAGTGTAGCTATGAAATATTTCACGTGAATGCTATTGTGCAAATTCATTGTTGTACGTCGTCGCGGATTACTGAAGCGAGTTTATTTGCCAATTTGTCGAACGCCCGGAGCGCGTCTAATGTGCGTGTAGCGCATGCCAGTTGTTACAAATACTTGTGCGTATGCAGATATACAGAGCAGATGGAGCGTGTAATCAACGCACCCTCAGCAACATTTCACGCTTGAGCAGTTGAACACATCGCGGCATAAAGGAGCCGAAACGCGTTGCATAGCGACACCTCACCAGTAGAACTCTCACTTTCCAGGCAGATCCGTGCCCTGCATCAAAATGATTTGGCGTCACAGTTGTCAAAATGGGAACAATTAAAAAAACTGACATCGCAGTGCTGCTAGTCAAGCCTTTATGGCCGTGGTTTTTCTTGTGTGTGTACAAGGCGGCTGTAATCACTCGTCACAACGTCACGCCCTGTGGTCACTAATTAGATCCAGCAAAAAGCGCATTCTCTTTGTCGCAGCCCGAACAAAACACATTTGGAGAACTGAACAAGTTATAACAGGACGAACTACCATGTACGACGTGAGACGCCATGGCTCGTGGTGTAAAATAAAGAAGTGCACAACGTTGCCAGTTCAGTAACGCACATCCCGCAATCGCTCCTGTGTTGCGCCGTTCATGTTCATTTAGGTAAAGGCCTATTCTACGACTGATTTCCTTTCACTTTGTGTCATTTACATCTACTCACCGTATACCAAGTGAACCCAAACAGTCGCTTTTTGATGAAACTTTTGAACCTTCTAGGGCGTGCTTCAGGAACGTAGGCTAGGAGAAAAGAGAAAGTTGTCGCTATCTTGTAAACTTGTTTCATCTTGGGACCTTAATTGCTTACGGTGGTACAGAGCACGGAAGCGCCGTCGTCCCTGATAGAAAGAAAGTCCTTTGCGCGCTGTTGTTGCGTTCGAAGTTCGGCTGCGAGAACGCGGTAGCACCCTTGGGCTGTCAGGTGGTTTCATCCCATATTTCGAAGCGTTTCCTTAAATGCAGAAGAAACCACTACACAACTAGTACATGAAAGAACAATTTTATTGGTCGTTTTGAAATGCCGTCTTAAATGAAACGAAATATGTCTTCAAGTGAATATTCAAATTTTGTGTAACCGACCTTAGTGAATACACAATAATTGAGAGCTATCTAGTATATACGCTCACGAGCGTCAGCTGACGGCAAACCATGGTTTCAATCAGTTGCGTTTAACAATTTGTTTTAAATTTTTGATCTTGCTACGTGAGTTACCCTAAAAATAAAGTAAAGATGAGCTTTTCCTAACGTTGAACTTCAAATAGGGTTCACCTAAATAAAAAAAACTAAATTTTAAATAAGTTCGATAATACGCATTTGAGCTACAATTGCCACATTTGTAGAATAGCTTCAACATGTCACGCTCTCACAGCCCACCAAGCTTTAGAGCATTTCAAAATTGAAATCATTAAGAACAAAAGTCACAGCTTTGCCGCACAGGTGAAGCAATGAATGCGATAGCAACAAATGGGAAGGTCACGCGCAGAATGGCAAGTAGATGGAAACGTGCCCCGAGTTTCTCACGCACAAGTGACACACGAAACGTACTCATAGGTACAGATGCACGCGAAAAAGTGTCTCAGTTGTAACTTCGCTGTGTCTAAAAAGCGAGCACTTTTCGCAAACGGAGATGGTACAACAATTGCACTGACCTTTGTGTGCGCCATAACTACAACAGAATGCTTCCAGAGCGAGCCGCACGCCAGTCAAGGCGTTTAATCCTCTCCACCGGGAGATAAGGGCGCGTGACAGACCGTCCACACACCTCCTCTGCGCGGACCAAAGTATGCGTGAGAGATGAGTGACGCCGCGTGCGCATTGCGCCATCTTGCTGATAATGCTGAAAACACGATAGCTCCCCTCTGAGATGCCCGCCTGCAGCGTTAAGTGGTAGATAAAAATAGCTTGAAGTTTAAGCGTTGAAGGCGGTACTTCTGCGTAGCTCAGTGGTTAACGCCTCACATTCACTACGCGGAGGTCCCCCGATCGATTTGGCGCGCTGTGGTTTGATTTTTTTCTGGAGTTTTTAGTTCTTCCTAATTTATATATATATATATATATATATACATATATATATATATATATATATATATATATATATATATATATATATATATATATATATATATATATATATATATATATACGGTGCATGACGCCGACGCCTGCGGCGAAATCTAGCCAAGAGTGTGTCCATATACTTGCTATCACAATAATAAGTGAATTTGGAGAACACATGTTGCTTATTTAGCACTTCACTGGAAACACTTATTTAAAACGCTGTAGGCCTATAAGCTCAGATTTGGGTGCACGTTAAAAAGCCCTAGGTAGTCGTAATTTCCGGAGCCCTCCATCATGGCGTCTGTCATATTCATATGGTGGTTTTGGGACGTTAAAAATTACATGCCAATAATATATTGATCAATCAATCGATCATTTGATCAATCAGAAACTGAAGCGATTTTCAGACGCTCTTTATTAGGTGCACATTTTGAACAAAGATGTCTGAAGCATTGTGATATTCTTGATATTGTATCTTCACCAATTTTGATGAATTTCTCACGCTCGAAAATGGTGTCTTCTCATTGCATGAATTCATTATCTTTCATTCTTTGATTATGGATTTCTTGAGTTTGCAAAGTCCCCTTTCGGGTAACCGTGCGATTTGCGCATAAAAATTTAATACCCAATTAAAACGTTTCAAACTTTCCAACCCATTTCGCTCTCTCGGGTTAATGATCAGTATACTATATACTAAATATTGAAGCCTGAAATATCACACGAGTTTGAAAAAAAAAAACGCAGGCGCCTAAGTGACTTTTGATCAATTATTATATAAGTGCTAGAAATTAATGCAGCTTCGTCCTACGATACGGAAGTTTCCAGCATTTTTTTTTGTTTCCCGTCAGTCTTTTTTCTCCTATCTTTCTTCTTCTTTGTGGTTTTCTCGCTTCATTTCTATTCAATAATACTTTTCATCCTACTTTTTCTTCTCTTCTTCTTTTTATATCTCGCTTTCTTTTTCTTTTAATTTTTACACGTGGTATGTATTGTGTTTTCCTGGCCATAGTAGTAATGCCTGCCCCAACAAAGCACTCGAAGAGACTGAAGACAACACTTTAGAATGAGCGCACGCTCAATTTGCTGCACTTGGATATGCTGCATATGCTTTCGCCTGCTTTCCAGCCAGCGACGATGACAGCATACAACAGCCCGGCCCCCTAAAGTATTCTGATCTGGAAAGTATAAATTTTTAAATTGAATTATCAGGTTTTTGTGGGCCAGAACAGCCTACACTTATGACACCGCAGTTTGATTACTATATACTAGCAGCACTGAAGAAAGTAAATGCGCAAATGGTTTTTTCATGTTTTTTTATATTCCAAATATAATGATTTTCCGTATCAGTGACATGATTATAGGGCGCCTCATAGGTGGATTACATTTTGATCCCTGAGATTTGTTGACCTGGGTCAAAGTACATGGATGTGCCATTGAAAAGTGCCTATGGCGTACTTAAATCAAACCCTAACTATCGAGTTTTATAGATTGATAGTTCGAACTACCATGGCGAATGTATTAACCCCTAAGAAATGTTGCCAATATTCACTAGATACTCACTGATGCCCTATTCTACATTACACCACTTCACCTTTACAAAAAGCAAAACAGGCCTGGGATCTATTTTAGTCAATGCATCCTCAAAAAAAAACTTATCGCATTCGGTACTTCTGTCAAAGAATAATACCAGGACACTTTCTGCTTTCTACTTACACAATACTTATCTTCGAGGTAATTTTTTTATTTTTTTATTCATTGGCATGGTAGCCTCATCGCATCAATGGAAGCATCTGTGAGGAATGGCAATCTTGACAAGATAAATTTTTAAAGTGCGTGGCTCAATGAATTCGATACCTTGATTCGGTCCTTTTTGAGCTCCGTGTAATTTCCAAAAAGTAAGCTTGGTTCCGGTCCGGGAATTCCGTACCTCCTGAGGACACTCTGCTTGTGGCGTCTCCGAGCGGCCCACATAATAAACGTAGTCAGTAGAAAGACTACTAAGAACAGAGTAGCCTCTATCGAAGGCATGTCCTTCGCTGAGGCCAGCCAGGATCGTCTGTGGTGGAACCTGCGCGGGTAATATCAAATAGCACTTGTTGTTGTTGTTGTTGTTGCCCCTTCGCACTGGCACATACCCACTATGGGGGATTGGCCATGAAATCTAGAAGTATCCTATATGAGATATATTAAAAGGTTTATCCTTAATGAAAAAACTAATGATGTAATAGAAAATAATAATTAACTAAAAAGGAATATTAAACTAAACAAATAATTGAAGATTGAATCAAGAAGAGAAAAGGTGAGGTAATACTACAGTGGAAGACAGAAATTTTGAGTAGACCAGACAATCGAGCTTATCTCACCCGGTCACAATCAAATGAATATGCAAATTTCATTCAAAATTAGACAAGTGTCTTCAGAAATATATTTAAGCAGGCATTATTATGACATGCGCTTTGATTCTCGAATGAAATTGCATACAGCATCGAATACGCTCCTGTGGCAATGTCCCAAGCTAAAGGCACCGAAACTTAGAACATTATCTGCAGTTAAATTTAAACCTACTGCTTGAAACGGAACAATTAAAAGTCTTTTCCTAATTAATGAATAGTTTTTACATGTTATAAAGTAATGCTCTATTGTTTCCGTTTCTTCACAGAATGGACACAGGGGGGATATCGCCAGACCAGCTCTGTGCAAGTAAAAGTTTAATGGAGGGACACGACATCGAAATTTGGTTAAAATAACTTCTAACTTTTTAGATTGACTCCACTGAGGTTTCCAGGGGTATGTTAGGTGCTGATAGTCCGTATATTTAGTAATATTTTCCATAATATCCGTATAAATAGCCCATTTTCTATATCTGATCGACACTATGTGTTCCGATTCTGGTAGTACCGAGATCACAGGGCCATCAAGTGTGGCTCGAGATAGTGAATCGGCTATTTCATTCAACCGTATGCCACAGTGTCCCGGGACCCAGACTAACTTCAGGAACTTCACATGAGGTGGAACTAATGTTTGTAATGTCGCTAGAGCTCTTGATTGTTCTGAAGCTGTGAGAGTAGTACACAGCGAAAGAGAATCAGTAATTATCATTGCACTCTCTTCGTTTGAAGGAAGTTTTCGTAGCGCTAAAATAATAGCCAGGAGCTCAGCTTCGAAAACCGGAGTGAAGTCTGGTAGTCTTACCGAGAATGACCAACCGAGGTAATCTGAGACGATTCCTACTGCTGCCTTTTCTTTATTCACAGAAGCGTCTGTGGCTATTATGTTCTTTATTTCCGCATGAGCTATGTAGTCTTCTAACCTGTCATTTAAGTAACTCGAAGATTGAAACTTAGATAGTGGGGGAAAAATTTCATCACATTCTATCGTAATATTGTGATTTAATGCTTTGGTTCCAATTACCGATCTGATATCCACCTTTATGCTTTCAAGTTTCTTTTGTACAAAAATAATCTGGGGAGTACGAAAGCGTGGCCAGTGAGCGAGGAAGAAGGCGTCGGGGTCACTAATAAAGGCATATGCAGACCGTCTCGCTGATAAGCCGTAAAATTTCAAGTATGTTTGTACTGTTAAGATACGGAATCGGCAAAGAATAGTTGGTATGCGAGCTTCCTGATATAGTACATTAATAGCGACATACCTGGGGAGTCGCAAACACAACCGTAACGCTTCTCGCTCTAATAGAACTAACGGTTTAATTTTGTACGTAGGGCCACCCGAAAATAATATACACCCAAATTCGAGTATTGGGCGCATGTACATTTTATATATCATTAATAAGGTGTGTCTACGTAACCCATATTTTCTGTTGCTCAACCTTCGCAATAAGCCTGAAGCTCGTTGTGCCTTTGCCACGTTATAGTCTATGTGAGGGCTCCAGTTAAGTTTCTCGTTATAAATAATGCCCAAATATTTGATAGACTCTACTTGTGGAATCGGTTCCTGATTATAAAGTACTGAAATTTGAATAGAATCTGCTATAGGGAACACCAGGAGCGCACTTTTACTGATGTTTAGAGACAATGAAATTGAATGCAGCCAAATTTCAAGAGAATACATGTACTTTTGCAATTTTTGATGCAAAGAATAAATGTCACTGTCTGCAACGAAAAATGCAATGTCGTCTGCATAAATGTAGACAGTGATATCTCGTTCAATGGGAATTGAGCTCATCAACACATTGAATAACAGCGGAGATAGGACCGCCCCTTGAGGTACTCCACGTTGCTGTTTGAATTTAGATGAGTGACATCCATCCTTTGCACAATAAAATTCTCTCGATTTTAGAAACTCTGCTACCCAATCAACAATATATCGCGGAAAGTCACATTCGTGTAAAGAATTCAATAAAATTGAGTGCTCAACGCTATCATAAGCTTTAGCTATGTCTAGTGTTACTAGTACCGCGTATTGTCGTCTTTTTCGGGCAAGCTCTATTCGGCTCTCTAAGTCGGCATGAGCACACCAAATTGAGCATTCGCTACGAAAACCTATTTGAAATGGTTTCAATATTAGCTTGTCAGCCATCCAAACTTTTATTCTATTATTGAGAACTCTCTTTATAATTTTGATCAGGTGAGATGTTAGAGAGATTGGTCTGATGTTGTCAATGTTAAAACCTGACCCTTGTTTTTTTAATATGGGAATCACTCTAGCTATTTTCCAGTCATGTGGTATCCAGGCATTGCTTAAGGAATAGTTTATAAGGTTGAGGACGTCGCCGGGTGATATCTGGAATAAAATTTTAATCATAGGAACTGTTATACCGTCAGGACCAGGAGCCGAAGAGGGTAAGTTTCTAATTACGCTTGACATTTCGGGCAATGTCACTTTTTCGTAGTCAGTCTTTATAGAGGACTTTTGCCAGTTGATTGTCAAAGTCGACGAAAATCTGTTAGCTAAACCTCTTCCGATTGCCTCTAACGAATTAGTCATTTCTTCCGTCGATAACCTGTCATAATCAGAGTTAGCTAGAGACGGCAGAATTTTGCGCGATCTCATATATCGGAATAACGCTTTCTTATTTCTAGGTTTGGAAAGAAAGTCGAAATGTTTTTTGTCATAGTCTTCTTTAGCTTTAGCCACGGTGCGCTTAAATGTAGCAGCAATAAACTTGTAAACTGCCCAATTTTTGGGGGACTGATTATGAATTAGCTGCTTCCAAGCCGCTTGTCGTCGTCTATGATCACGAGAGCACTCAGAATTCCACCACTGACTACAAGGCTTTCTCGTATCAGACTCAATAGAAAATTCTGCTTTTTTGAACGTTCTTTTAATTACCGCACTTAATTTCATGGCTTTATTTTCATCGTTGTCTTCAGTGGGGGTAGTCAAAGCAACTTCTAGGTCATTTTTAAATTTGGAATAATTGATAAAGGTTCGAGCTTGGGAGTAAGATGGAATAATGGGGCAAGAAATTTCAAACAGTACTGGTAAGTGGTCACTGTTGGTGGCGCAGTCTAGAGTAGTCCAAGATACGCTAGAAATACCCGAGCTGATAAAACTCAAATCTAAGGCAGAGCGGGATCGGTCTCGGATAAATGTGGGAGTTCTAGCGTTGAGGCATGATAAATTATGGTCTATAGACCAGTCCCACAAGCGTTGTCCACATTGATCAGTCCTAAAACCCCAACTAGTGTGGTGAGAATTAAAATCTCCAACCATAATTTTTTCTGTGCACCACGAACTAACAGCCATGTCTAAACATCGCGTGTCTTGTACACCCAGAGGAAAGTAAAGATTTACCAGAGAGAAGGGAGAGCATCCAGGCAAGGTGATGTCTAAAGCGAAAATTTCACATTCGGGGGATATACTTTTGTACGAAGTTTTGATCTTTGAACTAATTTTATTATTGACAAAGAACGCTAAACCTCCACCTTTGGATGGGCGATCCAGGCGAAAAGACCGGAAATTAGGTAGGTAAAACGAATTATGTGCTGACAGCCACGTTTCTTGCAGTGCAATAATGTCTGGATTGAATTTACAAGATAAATACAATAAATCTGTACTAGCTGAATGAATAGATCGGCAGTTCCAATGAAGAATTTTGATAGAACCTATCATTTTGACAGAATTGTTTCGGCAACTACCTTATCTAAAATGCTGTCTTTAAGAAAATCGCTCTTCGATAGGTTCTCCTTCTGGTATTTTTTGTTTTTTGAATGTTTTGAAGAGCCAGTATTTTGGAGACAGGGGATCGAGTGCGCTTTAGGGATTTGATGTCCATGTCCATATCATCATAATCCTGATCATCCTCTAGTATGTCTTCACCTATCCTCTGGTTGTCTGTACAAGAGGGCCCTGCAGCCTGTACCCCTGAAGGAGATGACTCTGCGTCTGCTTCACTTGGAACACTTGAAACACTTGAAACACTTGGAACACTTGGAGCACTTGAAACACAACAACAGTAAGCTTCCTCTTCCTTGCTCATCTATACAAAGCAGCCACGAGGCACAATTGATGAAAATGACAGATAAACAGGCCCACGTATGCACAGCATGGCGTAATGGGCCTAAGAAGCGAAAACCATACTGCCCACTGTGACATGCTAGGGAGCAGCTAACTTATATAACAAAGTGAAAAAGGAAAAAAAAGCAAGGGACGTACTTTTCATATACGTAAAAGATATGTTTTGTTTCAAGGCAACTATTCATTGGATTATGAGTCCAAATAGTATGGAATGTGAACTGAATAGTTATTTATTTATGAATTATTTAGTTGACCTTTTTTGAAAATGACTTGTCACATGAGGTATTAGTGTTTTTGTTCCAAGATCTCTGGTTTCGGAACGGCCCGCCGTAGATTCATGGGATGAGTTGGCGTTTTCCGACCAAGTACAACTCATAGGAAAAATCATGCCACGCTTCATTCAGCACGTTTGAGCCTGTGTCTCGTGCAGCTGGTTGCGTAGCTGTGATATTTGCTTTGATGTGTTTACAATGTAGCGGGAGGTTCTCGTGGGCTAGTGTAGCCGATTAGCAACGGTGGGTAACGGTGCCATCGGCAGCTGTGTGCGAAGGTATCGCTCTGGAGCCTTCTGTAGTGATTGCATTTGTCTCT